TACATTGTGACCGAAAAGCTTTCGGAAATTCTCATTTAAAATTCGCGCGCTGTATATTTTCCGATATTTTAAGTTTATGTAGTTTGGCAGCACTGTCCTTAATTACTATGCCAAAAATGAGCGCGATCTGTCAGACAGTTCGTTTACGGCAGCTGTTGAAACCAGTTCACCTCAGTAGGGCGTTGCGAAAAAAACAATGGAAAAAAATATTGAACAAAGAGTTTGCATCAAATTTTGTGTTTCGAACGAAATTTCGTGTGCAGAATCGTTGCGAATGCTACAAAAGGCTTATGGGGAATCAGTTTTATCGAAAACTCAAGTTTATGAGTGGTACAAAGCCTTCCAGGACGGTCGTACGACCGTCGAAGACATTTCGCAACGCACTACTGAGGTGAACTGGTTTCAACAGCTGCCGTAAACGAACTGTCTGACAGATCGAGCTCATTTTTGGCATAGTAATTAAGGACAGTGCTGCCAAACTACATAAACTTAAAATATCGAAAAATATACAGCGCGCGAATTTTAAATGAGAATTTCCGAAAACTTTTCAGTCTTAATGTAAATTGATTTTCATTTTTAAAAACAGTTTACCATATATACTTTATTTTTCAGTTCAGATATTTTTAAAGCTGTGACCACATTGTAATGAAGCCCCAACTGCACTTTTTATTTATTTTTTTTATTGTTTTGGTTCGAAAACATTATTTGAGTAAAAAAGTTTCACAGTGTATTCGCTAGTTATAAAATCTAAAAATGTTTCAGCTTTCAAGTGTTATCAATGTGTATCTTGTTTGAGTTGATATCAAGTCAATTTGTTTTGATTTCAGCGCATTGCAGCATCTGTTGACGACAGATTATTTTTTCTTTTTTGCGATTTCGATTTCGATTTCGACGTGTATTGAAGTTTTAAAACATTTTTGGCATTTGTATATTATGCGCACATCAGCACAAGTGACTTTTGCACTTAAAAATATTTGCACTAAAAATCCGCTGCGATTGTTAACTAAATTGAACACATAAACTAAACCATCAAATTTAAATTCGTGTTTAAATTTTAGTTAGCCAATGTTCAATGTCACTCAGCAAGATAAATTGATTTATTATTTTGTATTGTTAAATTGAACTATCATTGGAAGTTAGGTCGGGTTAGATAAAGAGGGCGTGTGTTGATACAAGTGTCAATATCTTTACTCATACGCACGCATGTATTGACAATTTTGATGATCCTTTAAAACAATATGTATCTCCGTTGTTAAATTATTAGGACTTCTAAACGAAATGGAGGAGATCCGAAATAAAGGCGAATTACCTTAGCTATTTAATCTAGCCCGGTGAAAAAGCGATATGAGAATAAAGTCGTTTCTGCAGTAGTGCTGGACAAAAATATGGAATGCGATTAATAATTTCTATTACTGCACATCCAGCTTGTTAGAATATACAACTATTGAAACATAGCCACAAGAGCGCAGTGCATTTCAGTAAGTATACAAACGACAGGTTTGTTAAGAGTCAAGAGAGTTTTCGTACTTTTATTCTTTTCTCTTCTTTTCTTTTCTCTATATCTATTTAAGTACTTAATCTATCACTAATATACTTAATGCAAAATACATATATGTTTACATACATAATATGTTTACGATAAGAGTTGTTGGTGTTATTTGGTGGGATAATACTTCATTCAATCTCAGCAATAACTAATAAACTACTAGTTATTCTGCGATTTTGCTTTGTCAGAATTAACTATTTGTGTATGACTTAAATAATTAAAGAATATAAATTGATTATTTCATGGTTGTCTGTCTGTCAATATAAAAACTAGTCAGCCATTTAGTATAGGTAAATGAGTTTTCTTCGTAGATTTCAACGGACTATGGATTAATAAAGATGGAATGAAATAAATCTATATAGTGTACCTATCAATACACTAACCGATCAGATCTTAAGAATTGGAACAGATGAATAAGATTTTTTTCTAAATTTTAAATGACTTTGAAATAATATGAACTTGACCATTGAACATTATGGTCCATGTTATATTTTATATGAAAGAATTTATAAAAACTAACTAAAGTTAGAAAGATAAACTTTTTTTTGTACTTAAAGACTTGCTTTAACAAACAGGATATGTATGAAACTGTTTGCTTCCAAGTTAATTTAATTTCTGTAGTTTTAAGTGAAAAACTAGAATTACCGTGCAATTTGTTTTTAGTTACACTTTTTAGTGTTTATTAACGTCAATGAATATTAGAATGCAATGAAAATAACCCTTTATTATGTATTACAATGAACACTCACTTCCTGATTGCTACTTTTATTTTTCAATAAGAAAGAACATTAGAAAAAGCTAATTTCAAGAACAAATAAGCAGTGAGAAGCATATATACACTACATACAATCTTATATATAGGCGTATACAAATACGTTACAACAGAATATAACTAGAGATCAAACGGCAAGAACTGCTATTTCACTTTCTGGAAATGACAATAAGTTGTTATAGTAGTCACCAAAAATGTTTGTTATTGAGTTTCGGGTTAAAATAGAAAATAAAGAAATATATAACAAAATTTCAGTAGTCAACCTCATTTTGAAGACGTTTGTTATATCAAAACAGTATTACTTAAATTGTCATCAAGACAACGCTTACCAATAATTTAAAATGATTTTTATTTCATGTTTATTTTTACCTCTTCATGCCCATCTTTAAGAATAGAACATATAACTATAAATTTATAGTAAAAGCTATACTATTACACCAATTGTAATTGTTTCTATGTGTCTGTTGAGAACTGCAGACAAAGGACTTTTAATGTGTAGCATATGGTTTCTTCACTGGTCCGACCGAGATATCTAAGAAAGGCTTATTAAATTACTTTAAATACATCTTGAAGAGCTCATGATTAAGCAAGGCTACTTTAAGGGAATTGTAACGAAAACAATATTTAATATAGGTCTTCTTCTTCTAGCACCTTTGTGGGCATTGCACTGCACAATATATGTCTCTGAATAAAAGTGTCAATAGTATTATTTAAACGCGTTCTCTCAACCTAATCTAATTTCCATTAAAATATCTTTTATTTGTAGTAAGGATTTATACTGATTTAAACTTGGATTATCATCGCATTATAATGTTCGTGTTGATTTGCCTGTAAAATCTCTTCTTTGAGTGATAAACAGCACTTCACGAGCGGCTCGGCTATTCTTGAAACTTCACACTATAATCGATCATATTAGTTATCGATCGTATAGATTATATATGTATTTAAAATACAAAAATATTCAATTTATTATTTTGAATCATTTCAATCGAAAATAATTATAAATTAAAACCAAAACGTGTTGTTATAAAAATACACTAACCATGTTCAAAAATTTTATATTATCTAGTATAAGATATGAAAGATATTGAATTTTATGATTTTAATAATTATAAATAGTTTGTAGCTATAAAAAATACTAATGGGAAAAAATATTTATGTAAAAAATGGTAACGGTAATGCAAATACCAAGGTTTACATTTTAGTAAATAAATTTTTAGTTTGATTTAGAAAAATTTCTAAACTAATTATAAATCATAGATTTGTATAATTTATGAATTTATACTTCATGAAAAGCAAATTATGTATACGTTTATAATATAATTATCAAATTTTTTGAAGTTACTGATGCATGTCTTGATTTTCTACAATAAAACTTTTTTTAATAAACATAAAAATAAAGCGGATATGACACAATTCTATTATGTTTTACATTAATATAACATTGGTAAAACTAGGTGGGAAGTACTAAAAGTTATGCGCTGCATTATTAATTTTTTTTATTTTAATTTTAGCGGAAATTTTTATTTGAATTATTATATTATTTATATTATTTTATAAAGTTTCGAAAAGTTATATTTAGAAATTGGTCGAATATTTTCTAAATATAAAAATAACAAACAATATATATTAAACAAATTACAAATAAAATATAGATAGATAGATAGATACATCTATATATAAAATAATTAATGTTTAAAATGTTTAAATTTTACACATAACTATATGTAATATCCCAATATACATATTCCGAAATACCCATTATCAGTGGTCTATTGAGGTTATTTTTTTTGAGACTGCAAGCATCTGCCAACACTATAAAAATTAGTATATATAAGTTTTAGAATATGCATAAACAATTTCAAATAAAATTGATAAAAAATTTCGAAAGTATATTAAACCCTTTTTAAAATTTTTATGATTAGTAAAAAATTTGATAACTTAATATTTATACAAATCAGACATCTTTTTGACTTCTTTACCTCCGATTTGGTTGATGTTTTTTTTATCAGCTCCTTTCATAAAATAATAGGGCCTGTATCTCAGAAAAAATTTTGAAGATCTAGAAGATGATCCATGGGGTTTTAAGAATTAGTAGTGTGAACAATGCTAATTCCTAAACGGCCATGGAAATAGTTTAAACCATTAAATATATTAATACTAATTCAAAATTGTTTATAATTAGGTACTAATATTGAGTGCTAAATTAAAACAAAAAATTTTTACGAATGTGTCTCAAAATTTTTTATTTTTTATATATTAATTAGACTCCGTATTAAATTTTACTTGGAAATCATAATTTTCAGCATTATTTTTCGAAATTTGTAAACATTTTTTTTTCTTCTGCACAAATCATCAAACAAAAAAGTCAACTTTTGCCAAAATCGTTTCGATTTGAAAAGAATAACCTATATACGAGGTGTCCTTGTAAGTCATCTTAAACAGATGTATTTATATACAATCGCTTTCTATACATAATTAAAGTTCTTATTTGAAGAGTAAATACAATTCTACATAAAATATAATATAATATAGAACAATATGTATTCAAAAAATTAGATGACTTAATATGTTTATA